TCGTATCTCAAGAGCCCACAAAGTCCAAGAGAGCTAGCTCTTGGGCTCCTTCAGATCCTCTCTTCTGCCCAGAGAGCAGCAGAAACATTTCAAAATTATTGAAATAAGATTTCAATAATATTTAATTTACCCAAGTAAAATTTTTGAATTCCTGTTCATTGTGAAATTCCGTTTTCCGTGTCAATTTAGGACAGTGCAGCTGGCAAACTCCATTCACTCTGAAGTAAGAAATTTAGATACTTGCTCACCTGTACTGTGGCCCATACAATTTCAGATAGCAGCTAAATTCCAAAAGTGGCTTCTTTGCAATTCCAGTAAAGATGCTTCTGCTTTGTGAATACTATAATGTTATTACCAAGCCCTTCAGCACAAAACCCCCAAATCTTTTAGCACTTCACATCAATACACTTCAATGTTTCCATTGTGTATAGTCCACTTTAGGAAAAAGGATACTGTAGTACCTGTGGATATGAGGAAGAATCCTGTGACTGTAGCTAAATGTCACACACTAAGAGTTCTCATTACAGGTAATATTTTGGCAAAATTTTATACTGTTACCATACAAGGCTGCAAAGTGTTACCAACTCACAAAACATCAGTGAATGGAACAACAGATATTTTTTATCAAAGATGTTTGAAGTCATAAAATGGAAAACTCATATAATTGTTTGTACTCTCTTAACCTAAAAAACCAGACAAGCAATTAATAACAGAACCCACAAACCTTAGGTCGTTACTATGTCCTATTGCAAAGAATATTGCATTGGTCACGTATTCCCCCCTCACATACATATTTTATTTTTTCCAACTTTTTAACTGCTTTATAAACTAGGCTCACCATTAGAGAGTCTAGCATACCAGTCTTAGCACACCCTGACACTTTCACTGAAAATTAACTTCTGGGACTTCATGTAGGCACAGAATTATTCGTGTGTAATCCAGTTGAGAATAGCTGTAAAGCTGACAGGTTATGAAAAAAAAATAATAATCTGACTTTGGCCAAAGCAAAAGCTGTATGCAGTTATTTAAGTACAGATTGAAACATGTTTTTCCTAATATCTCTTTTATTTTTCCGTGCTTTCCTGGGTGCCTAGCGTCAGCGATGGTTGGTATATTATATTTTCATAATGGTATTTAAAGCATTTGAAATTGAAGTGTGCATGTGTTCATGTCTGGTGTTTTTATTTTTATGCATATGTGTGTTAAAAACTTGTAAGATTTATATTTTTTATATACAACTCTGTATGTCAGGGCCATTTTAATTTTTAGGGGCCTATAATTTTTAAGGTAGGGACAGCTGATTTTAGTTTTCTTCAGTCTGTCTTACCAGCTGCTAATACTAAGCCTTCATTTTCATTACTGTTTGTTTTCCATGTGTACTAGTGAAATCTCCAATTTTCATCATCGGATTGTCATTAGTGAAATGAATTAATCAAAACCATTGATACATAGATTTTTGTGTTAGTACAACCACATTTGTGAATGTGTTTTTAATCAGAAATAATTATTTAAAATCTTGCAATGAGGAAAAGATAGGTGTGCTGGAAGTCAGTGGTTGTTAGATACACAGCCTATGAGAAGGAAGGTGAAACAGACCTACAAAAGGTAAAACCATAGAGCATGTAATGTCCTCTGTGAAATCTAACGTTAAGAAACAGGAAAGAAAAATGCAGGCTTCTTTCCTTCTCTGGAATAGAAAGTATGAAGGGATCTGTTATCTTCACAGCATGATAGTACAGCCTGAGTTTCAGTAAATGTGTATTCCCTTAAATATACAAAGGTAAGTTTATTTACAAACACATCTAACAGTTCACAATATTAAACTTACTCTGAGAGGGTATTCAATGTAGTTTATCCTACACTCGGAGTGGCAAGCAGCAGGCAGTGACCACTTGGTTGGAGCAGCTCCATCCAGACTCTCTTAGCCTACTTCTTCTGTAGAGCTATGTCAGATGCCTCAGCAAACATCCCCCAGTCTGCAGAAAAGCTGGCTCAGCACACACATGCATGAGAAGGTGAGGCGTAAGCAAAGTGGGAGAGGAAAGCCCAGCACAGCAGAAGAGGCATTGGAGAATAAAATCTGAAGTAGTGGGTGCTTTTCCATTGCATCCAATATTCTGAACTTAATGAGATCAGATAAAGTTCCCTGACCTCTGGGGGAACATTTTTATGTTTAAACTTTAGTGAGGATCCAGATTTCACACTTAAGCTCTTTCTATTCCATTTCTCAGTCCAATCTCTGTTGTTCTTTTTGGAGAGCTCAAAACTCAAACATGTGCCGAGATGTGACTTTTACAGGCCTCTCTCTGATGGCTGTCCAATCTCCTGTTTCCCCCCCCACCCTTGTGCTGAAACATATTTTCATCCTCTCTATTTTGACTGTATCCAGACATTAATAAAATTAATCTGTCTCTTTTCCCAGAAGTCTTGCAGTGAGGAGAAGTTTCCCTGGATCATGAATCATACCAGCAACAGCTGCTATAATTTATTAAAATCTCAAGGTAGTTCATATCACAAAGCTTCCAGGAGCTGCAAGCCATTCTCCTTGCATGGCCTGAAGCAGTCAGTAGGCTTGACATCTTTCCATCTGAACTAAGTTACGCTCAGCCCTCTAAATGATCGTCAGAGACGTATAAATTTTTCATTGGTTCATTGGGTTTGCGGTGACTTAAGCTCGTTGAGTGAAGTCACTGTGAAGTGATAAGTGAGTTAACTTCAGAGCCATAAGGTTGACTTTAGCAAATTTATCTTCTGATAAAATGGAAGTTTTTTGTCTTTTAGTGTTTACTGGGTTTAACTGGAATAGCTCCTGTCTTATAGACACAAAAAAGTGGGAGTTATGGAAGAGGGGTTGGTTTCAGGCTACTTTTTTCTAGTGAAAATAAGTTTTGCTTCTTTCTTTGAGACCAGTCATGTATGTTAGTACAATGCCATCATTTTCCTGGGTAACTAAGATGTTCAGTCTTTGAGTTAAATCACCTTAGAAGTAAGAAAGTTACTTGACACCATCACCATAGGATATGAACACAGAAGCAAGACACAGTGTGGAGGCACACGTTACATCCCTTCTCATTCCCACTCCTGTGCAGTATTGGAGGACGCCCTTTTTCTGCATTCCCTGAAAATCAGCAGATTTGAGAGATTTTCTGATCAAATGAGGAGTTATTGTTTCCTGAACCTTTAAAGTACATGAAATGGTGGCACACATGTTTTTTAATGAACAGGCAGTGTGTTATGCTAAGAACACATGTTACTAGAAGCTGAAATATCTGAATTTCATAAGGCAAAGTATTTTAAATGCTGTGTATTGAAATTAATGATGCATTTTTTCATGCATATATTATGTAATGTGTACCAAGTGCTGACTATGTGTCATTTTTGAAGAAGAAATATTCTGCATAACATATTAATCCAGTTTATTAGAAAAAGATAGAAACAAATCATAATTTATAACCTGCTTAGTCATTCCAACTGACATCATTATTATTGCAGCTGCGAATGCTGGGTTTTGGAGTGGAGAGTTGAGAGTAGGCATATGCCGTATGATGGATGCTATAATAATCATACAGCAGCTTCAAGAAGGAGCCATAAGACTTGAGAGACGTATGCAGTTCAGTCATGTATTTGAACTGTATTCCTGAAAGTGGACATAAAGCTGTAACTGTTTTGCATTGCTGTGAGAACTACAGCATAGGATGCTCACTCTGTTGTCTGCATTAATCACAGTTCAGCTGGGTCAGGACATGAAGGAGAATCTTTTCTTGAAAACTTGTCTTCCCACAGCTTGGTTGGCTACAGTTCATTGGAATTATTATTTTTTTTTTAGTATCATGTATTTGCCAAAGTATAGTTTTGGAGATTCAAAAAATTGTTTAAGAATTGTGAGTTAATTTGCAAAACTTGCGGTACTAGGAACAGAGATGTCTGTGGGAGATCTGAAGTCTGTGTTTTCCTGATCTTTACGAATTTGATTGCAATCACTTTGCCAAAAAATCTGCTGGGTTAGGATGTTCTGATTTCACACACACACACACACACACACACACACACACTTTTGAGGGCTGCATTTAATTTGATGGGAATATTGGTCGAGACAATACAGCTTTCTTCGGTTTATACTTGTACGCACTTCTTGTCCTCCACTTAAATATTCACGAAGAATAAATCTGGATTTGACATTCTTTTAAAGTCTGCAAAATGCTCAGGTGGTTATCTAAATTGTCTTAATGGCCTCTTCGCGGGTTTGGGTTTTTTTTTTTTGACCCTGTGGTTGCCGTGAAAATTTGAGCCTACTGGTAACTGTAGTATCTGTCATAGAAATGCCTTGTTTCTGTTATAGACAGCTATGTTCATGATTCATTTTTAAGCATGCAGGTGTTAACACTGCAGTTCCTGACACTGTAGCAGCAGGTTTTACTTCCTTACCAATTCTGCCTGTGATAGAAGCTGGGTTCTGTAGCTCATAACAACACCTGGCAACTGCATCACTCTTTTCTTTTAGAACAGAAGACAGTTCACTATGGTAATAAAGAGTAAAAGGCTTTTTAATATTATGATACATCTAGTGCAGCAATCTCCTACTGGATTAGCATTGATCACATTGCAAATATGTGCAAATGTGTTTGTTTTAAATGCAAAATATCACAGGCAGCTTAAAAGCTGAGGAGGACTAAATGGTGGAGGGAAAGTGGTCTGGAGTGAAATTGTAGAAGGAAAGGTCAGGAAGACCACTGTTCTTCAGGAAAGTAGAAATACTTTGAAGTAAAGTCATAGCAAATACAAGGTAAGTGGTAAGTGACAAAATACCAGTTTGTATGGAATAAAAGAAAAATTTAAAAAACCCTCATGAACAACGTAGAAGCAGTGAGCTGTGCGTGCTTCTAAAATACATAATCTGATTTGCTCTTAGCTAGCCAGAAAAAGGGCAGTGAAAGTGGAGCTAAGACACCGACAAACAGTGCCTAAATGTATAGAAGAGAGATAAGTGCATTCGGGACATGCATGGGATGCATGTTCGGCCTTGGGGCTGGTACAGCTCTGAAAGGGCTCTCTGGATTGCTCAGGATGAAGTTGGTTGTCCTTGTTAAAACAGTTTCTGTAGCTTTTTTACTATTGCAGCTGTATCAAGCATCCTCAGGTTGAAGCACAAACTGTCCCTTTTGCAACCTCAAATCTGGAAGCACCCTTTAAATACTTTGAAAGATCAGCATTTCAGACACACCACAACTGCTGGGTTTACAGCTTAACAGGCTAGACTGTAGGGCTAATTCTCTGAATCTCCTTCTGTGTAAGCAGTCCTCCTTTGTCTGCAGTTCCATCAATTAGTAGTATCCTTTGGGTAAATGAACAAAGTCTGTTTACAACAGGGTGTGTTTGACTTGGAAATACCTTTGTTGTTTGCTGGAAATACCTTTTGCATTGAATGCTCTTCCTGTTAGCTCTCTGAAAAATACAGAGGGGAAAAAAGGAAAAAAAGCAAGTCAAATACACCAGTGAACTTTGGCAGTGCCCTGTTGCCCAGGTAGGGCAACCAGGGTAGCACAGTTGGAGGAGGTTTACACCACAGTACTGCTACTGGCTCATCATCTCATAGTATGAATCTGCCTTTAGGAAAATTCAAATTTTACTTGGAAAATCTCAGATCATTTAGTAGCCATTACCAGGAATTTTCTTCTGTTTCTCAGTATTACCCTTCTGATGGCAGTAGCTGGTGGAGTTATTAAATATTCATACACTTTTAAAATTCTAGCCTGTGGTTTAAATTTGTTTGAAATTAAGCTGGTTTGACTTGGGATTTATCTTTTAATACCAAAAGGTATGCTCTTGAGGTACTGCTATGCGTTATGAGACAAGGCTTGGGTATCTGCCTAATCCCTATACAGATTGCTTTACAGAAAGATTTATTTTGTTTACAAGTTGTTTGCTTCATGAAAGCAGATATTATTGATTTCGTGGTATACAATCAGCATCCTCTAAGTGAACTGTACATTAAGGCAACACTGAACTGAACACCGTGACAGCTGCCGCTGGAGCTGAGGTTCTCAAGGCATTTCTGTTCAGAGCCCTTGTTTCCGATTGCGTATAGCTTTGCAGTACTGTCACTTAAAGGACTGACATTTCCTCGACTCAGAGGTGACTTTAATCTTGAAGGTCAAGCCACAATTTTCCAGCTTCTTTTAAAGCAAAAAGAGAAATGAAAACGAGTGCTTTCCCTGTATTAAAAGTGCTGCTGTTATTTTAGAACCGGTGCCAGCTAAGTACCTTCTTTAAACCGAGCACAGGTGCTTGTAGAACAAATTTCTTTTTATTCAGCCATAAGAGTAGGCTTATAGCCATTTTTGTGTTCCTACTAATCAAACTAATGTGAGTAAAAAGAGGAATTTTGTTCTGAACGTTTTAAGAATTTCTGGTGTTGGTAATAAATGTCCGTGACTGATCTGACTCATTAAAGTGTAAATATCGTAAATTATTGGCTCATATAGCCCTAATCTTCCTTATCTATAGCCTTGTAAATCATGTTGCATTTTACTGAGGAACAACATAATGCATATCAAGTTTGTTTCTTTTTTCTACATGTATTCAATCTTTTTATTCCACAATAGTTTCTTCATTTTATATACATACAGTATTTCTTTCGTCATACCAGAAATGCATCCTTTTACAAGTTAACCACCAAGACTTATTAAAAATCAGCTGACCAAATAATGTAAATATCTGTGAATTCACTCTGAAGCATCCTTATGCCTAAAGATAAACTCAGATTTAGATGTTTTTAGAAAGCTTAATCTTCCAGAAATTGCTTTCCTTTTTATTAACTCTGTCTTATTTCATTGCAGGAGGGGTTCAAAATGGGATTAACTCTTGAAGGCACAGTATTTTGTCTTGACCCACTAGACAGCAGGTGCTGATGCCAGGAAACTAAATGTGAAATTCCTACGTGATGTTTTTTTTTTTTTCATTCTGAACATGTGTTCACAGATATTATCCATGTGCCAAAAATTGCTTTTTTCAACATATAAACTCCTGTGAGGTTTGCTTCTGTAAAAATCCAACTTAGTTCCAGTTTTTCCCTGTACAAATGTAAAAAGTTGTTTTTGTTTATGAAATATGAATTAAATTACTCTGTTGTGTTTCTTCCTCTCGCGCTTTGGCCCAAGTTTACTATGCTTTATGGCTGTTAGCCTGAGAAGTTCTTCAGAAAGCTCACACATACCTCTCTCTGTTTGCAGATGTGCAAGCATGGTTTTTACATAATACTTCACTTGGCAGCATTTTGAAATTAAGTTTTTAAGCCATTATTTAATATTCAAGCAGTAAAATGATTGATATCTGGTACAGAAGTTCAAATTGCAGTGAAAAAGCAGAAAATACTAACCATTAATATACGCTTAAAAGGTAAATCTGGATACCGTGTAATTGATTTCTATTACTGTGTATGGTTACTATGCTGTATATATGTTGTTACTAGTTTATAAAATCCGGAAGATTTTTAGGTCCTTAATTCATGTTTTAGAAACTAACAGATTTTTAGTATGCTAATCAGTGTTTAATGAGCGTAGAAGAACTGCTAAATTGCCGAATGGACAAAGTAACTGCCCTTTGTTTTGATAGCTGAACTGTAAAATATGTAATTTGGAATTCATTACATGATAACCATAACTTAAGATGATGATTATGATGTTGCATTTACGTGATTTGGTGTATAAGCAGGCACTCTGTGTTTACTGGGCTCAGTTCTGTAGGCTACTTTCAACACCTGAGTGTTTACAGTCAGGCCCTGTTGAGTATTTTTTTCACTGTCTGCTCTAACATTACATGTGTTACTATAATTTTGAAACTTGCCGCAAGAATTCAGTATGAGTCAGTAAGTCCTTCACACCCACTGGTTGTTCATGTTACAGAAATACCTGCACACAAAAATTTTCAGCTGCAAGTGAGTTGAACGCTGACCTGTCTATGCATATTCTTCATTAATCTTTAGTATAAGCAATAAAATACCATCTTACACATATCTCAGAAAATTATTATCATGAGCTTTTTCATGTCCAAACTCCATGTTAGTTCAATTCAAAAACTTTAAAAACTCTCATATTTCCCCTCAAAACTTATAGGTGTGGAAAAAACAAAAATTTCAATTTTTTTTTATATTTTCTTTCCTTTTCATGATATTTCTCTTTTTTTTTTTTTTTGTGATACTTATTATTTTGTCCTTCACGGTTACAATTTACACCAAAAATGCATTTTGCAAATTTGTCATCGCGTGTATATCTTTATGCCTCGTTCAACAAAGTACTTCTGCATATAACTTTGAAGTCCACTGAAATGAATGGCATTATTCCTTTGCTGAGTTCGACAAGCGCTCAGGTACCTTGCTGAATGGAGGCCTTAATGTCCTACATCACGTTAGTCTTCCTCTCTCCTTGTTCAACATTCATATAGAGTATTATATATAAATATATATATTAAAAATATATAAAATCACTAACAAATAGAATATTTTATGTTTCATAAAGAAAAGTCTTTATAATTTTGTTTGTCATATAGTATTTTGGAATTTGTATAATGAGGATGTTTAGTAGCCATAGCAATGGCCTTTTTTAACAAATAGAATTTGTATTTTTATTGTACTTTAAAAAGCTTTACATAATAAGCATCTATTTAGTGGTCATTTATTATCAATGGTAACACTAAGATAATATTTGCACATTTTAAGAACCTTTTTTCTTTACTGATTTTTATGATAGTTGACTGCAAAGGCATGGTAAAATATTACATACCTGGTCAATCCATACAAAAATACTTAAATCAACACAACAGTGCATTTTTAATGACAAGGTTATGTGATCCAGTTGGAAACTGTATTTCTATGTAATCTCAAATGTCTGTTTAATTTTGCCTAAAATAAATGGTTTTAAATAAATTTCTAGAACAGTGTTCATTCGGTAAAATGCCCGGTGGAAGGGAGGGTGGGGAGGTGCTTAAAATGTTGGACAGGACCTGCCACAAAGAATGGTTTAGTGCTGAAATGTGTCAAAGTCACCGTAAATGCTGGAAAGAATCTGATCTCAGCCAGCGTCAAGTAGCTCCAATGGTTGACCTTTATTGTTGAGTCTGGGCTACTTCGTAACCAGCTGAGAAAAGTCTTGCTCTGCATGCAGCTGCCTAATACTAGGAATTAGGCAGTAACTCTCTCCACAGTGCTTCATGGATTTAATTGACTCTTTTTTTTTTAATTGCTTTTTTTTTAAATATATACTTAGCTGCTCAATATACTTAGCTACTGGTTATTTAAGGAGTGAAGGATGTACCTGAAGTCTTTCTGAATCCTAGAATGCAATCTCTGTAAACCAGGTGTGTTAATGGGACTGGCTGCAGCATATGGTGTTGATGCTTTTGAGAAAAGAAAACTAGCCTTAAATCATCTGGGAATTGCTTCCATTGCAATACGAGGGCTCTAGGTGGTTGCTCCTGCTCTGTTTAGAGTGAATGGGAGTGCTGCCAGTGTTCAGAAGATAATTTTGTCTGTGGAAGCTGTCTTGCTACCAGTCCCTACTCTTTCAATTATCTATTAAAAGCATAATCTCTGAACTTTCTAAAAAAAAAAAAAAAAAAAAAAAAAAGCCAAACCCCAAAGCTTGATAGCTGGTTTGGACTGAGAATGTGAAGTGGTTCTGCTAATTGTGTGACCTTAGGCATTTCCCTTCATAGAAGCCTCCTAGTTTTAGGGCTGTAAGGAGTACCAGGTTATCAGGTAAGATGCTAACAGATATTAACAGATAAGAGATACAGTGCTAATTGAGTTGTGAACAAGATCTTTTTTGGACTTGTAAATTTGCCCTCAAACAAAAGTAAAATTAAATAACAGTGCAACTGGCTGCTGCCAGATTTGTCCACACTTTTTCTTTTTCCTTTTGGATATTTTTCTTTTTTTTCTTAAACTTTAAACTGTGATCACACTGCTGGTCGTGCTAACTGCGCCTGTACCACTTTGAGGACGTGTAATACTAGATGCCAGTTCCACTTGTCAGCTGCCCAGCTGCTCCACCATACCAAGCTGTACTAACACCTAGAAGCAAGATTCCACACTTTCTGTTCCTTTTTTTGTGTGGTATGGACTATTTTTCTCGTCCTACCTGTTTATTACACCATACCTGAGTAACTGAGGTGCTTAGGCTAAAATTCTTAAGTCAAATAAGTTGATATGTGGTCAGATTGTGTGTTTTCTGGTTTTAACCTTTGATAAATTACTGAGCATCATTGCAGGATGTTCTTGGCTTAACCCATTCTCTATCCTTCAGACGGGTTTGTAAATGGCTGTCTTTTGTCCTTCCGCGTGACAGATGTGATTTGCACTGAACTTATAATTGATCAAATCACTCAAATTGGTAAAGATCAAATCCTTCATGTGGCAAAAGGACTTGCATTTCATTTTGGCTTCACTTATGGAAAGGAAGAAAGGGAAAAGAAAATTCTCACACTTGCAGAAGTAAGCGTGGTTGTGTAGTCCCAGAAGTGACTGAATGTGCCAAGGAATGGAGCTGGCTCAGAGACTTCGTTATGATGATTATTTTTCAATTTGTGGAGCTAAGCACGGTCCCATTCTCACCAAGCAGTTCTGCTTCACAAAAAGAGTCTCTTCTGCAAAGGAAGCAAGTGCTGCTGCCTGAGAGGTCCCTAGTTAAACACCCCGAGCTCCTATTTTCATTACAAGCTGTCAGTCGCTAGAGACCGTCACCCTTTGGACACCCTCTTAAAACAAGAAATGTGTTGTTAATTGCAGGCAAGCTCTCAGCTTTCCTAATGTGACACTTTGGGGTTTTGTTGTTGCTTTTAAAATTAGAGGAAGCAGAAGTAACTTTAAAAAAAAAAAAAATCTCAATAAGTGGCCATATGTTTTAAAATGCAACCAAAAATGCCTGTTAGTAGACATTCTATAAAGCTTCAGCTAAAAGACAGCAAGTAAGCTTTGGTACATAATTAGCCTGTTTTTTTCCCCCTTTTAAGGGGAGGACATAATGAGAGGCTGAGACATATTTTTGCATTGTCAGCTGGTGAAAAGAACATAGCAGTTCTCATCAACAAAATAGAGAACAGGGTTTCAAATATATCATAGAATCATAGAATCATAGAATCATAGAATGTTTTGGGTTGGAAGGGACCCCTAGAGGTCATCTAGTCCAACCCCCCCGCAGGAGCAGGGACACTGCTAACTAGATCAGGCTGCTCAGAGCCCCGTCCAACCTGGCCTTGAATGCTTCCAGGGATGGGGCCTCCACCACCTCTCTGGGCAACCTGTTCCAGTATTTTACCACCCTCATTGTAAAGAACTTCTTCCTTATATCTAGTCTAAACCTACCCTGGTTTAGTTTAAAACCATTACCCCTTGTCTTGTCACTGCTGGCCCTACTAAAAAGATTTTCCCCATCTTTCCTATAGGCTCCCTTTAGGTACTGAAAGGCCGCAATCAGGTCTCCCCGCAGCCTTCTCTTCTCCAGGCTGAACAAGCCCAACTCCCTCAGCCTGTCCTCATAGGAGAGGTGCTCCAGCCCCCGAATCATTTTTGTGGCCCTCCTCTGGACCCGCTCCAACACTTCCATGTCCTTCTTGTGTTGAGTGCTCCAGAGCTGGACGCAGTACTCCAGGTGAGGCCTCACCAGAGCCGAGTAGAGGGGCAGAATCACCTCCCTCGACCTGCTGGCCACGCTTCTTTTGATGCAGCCCAGAGTACGGTTGGCTTTCTGGGCTGCCAGCGCACATTGCCGGCTCATGTCCAGCTTTTCATCCACCAGCACCCCCAGGTCCCTCTCGGCAGGACTGCTCTTGATCCTTTCTTCCCCCAGCCTGTACTGATACCGAGG